AGAAATGGGGTTTAACGTCCACTCGACATAAACTAGGGGACGTATTGGGGAGCATTGATGGGTGAAGTATTAGCGAGTATTGATGGGTGAACTTGAGAGGTATTGATGGGTGAAGTATTGGGGGATATTGATGAGTGAAGTATTGGGGGATATTGATTGGTGAAGTATTGGGGGATATTGATTGGGGGATATTGATGGTTGAAGTATTGGGGGATATTGATGGCTGAAGTATTAGGGGATATTAATGTATTTATTTGGTAATTTAGATTTTTATCTGGGGATAGGTAAAATTTCTTGTAGAATAGACTGATATAATGTTAAATGTTTCGTCAACATAATACTTCAGCCATTTTGAGAGTACGACTGGATTTTATTATATTTCCGTGGACTGGGTGGCCGGTACTGACCAATTTATACTCAGACGATGTAGAGATCACCTCTATATTACACGGATTGGATCCTTATCTTCAGATTAATTTCTTTGACTTTTTTTCAGTTTTATTATATCTATTTCCAATTTTTTCGATTTTAATTATTTAAATTATGAAACACGCATGGATAAATTGTTTAGTGTCTTATCTTACAGCTTACATGGCCTCTAACTATTACAAGGAAATTGAAGAAATAATCAATAATTAAAAAGGTCGAGAACAATAGAGGAATCCGGGCACGAATCCTTAACTCCTCATGGAACTGTGTCTAGTAAGATTAATTAATAAGTAGAACTGATCAACTGTTTTTACATACCGTAACAGAAATAGCAGCTTGTTACAACCTCGCGGCTACTGCTTGCTATATATTGTTATAAACGTGATAGTTCCCTCGATGATTACGGTTGTATAATTTAAGAAAACCTACTGTATCTAGAACAGTCGGTGATGTCTGGGTTGAATAGCAGGCAGGTCAGATCGTCTCTTTATTTCTTCTTCAAAGCCAAAGAGTCGCTTAAAACGGAAATTGAATATCGACAAGATAGAAAGTTAGGTAGTGACAGAGATTGCACATAGAAATGAAATGAGGTTTAACGTCCTACTGTTCTGCACCCAGTGGCCTAATGCATGCATCCATAGAGTGTGCTATGAGGTCAAATTGTGCCCAGACACCGGCGCTACGACCTAATGTTATTTCGAATTCCAACTGTCAAGGGTTATTTCGCGTGAACGACGGATATGCTTACTCTTTCTAGAACATGTGATACCACTTAGTCTAGATGTATAGTATTGATAGATATTGTACATGAGGCAGGGTATGCTTGCTCTTTCTAGAGAGGGAGAGAGAAATTGGGTTAACGTCCACTCGACACAAACTAGGTCATTTCGGGACTAACATATGGTTCAATGATTCAATTTTATTTCAATAATTCGCTTGCACGAAGGGTGTCTTTAGCCAGCGGGGGGGGGGAATCCGGGGGACCCGGAGAAAACTCACGAGATGGAAAGGCGACCTTACTCCTTGTTACGTATAACCGGGGAATTGAAACCCCGCTAGTTGGCTCATTGACAGAGATAATGATATAGCACGTACGTGCTAACCACCCGACCATCCACCCCACCCCACCTACAGTGTAGGCTACACCTCCACATCAAAGCCCAAATTTCATCCCAACTTAACCTAAGATAGATAAGTTTCACAAAACGATTTTAAGCATTTTAGATAAAATCCACTAAAATATAATTTAAGTTAAAGTTAACTTATTTTAGGGACAATTTTAACTTAGGACAGCCGTCGTCCTCTCCTAACTTAAAATTATACATTAACAAACGCTGATTAGGGCTACCGCTGTTAGATCTATTGCTATACATAGATATATTTGGAATAAAGATAATATTGCCAATGGCCCGGATCACATAATTTTAACATACCATCATTCACAAAGACAATTCTCATTCAACCCAGAATAGTGCAGGAATATAGGACCTTAAACTACATTTCACGTCAGAATGGTGGAGGAATATAGGACGTGAAACGACATTTCACGCTAGACTGGTGCAGGAATATAGGACGTTAAACGACATTTCACGCCAGAATGGTGTAAGAAAATAGGACGTTAAACGACATTTCACGCCAGAATGATGCAGGAACATAGGACGTTAAACGACATTTCACGCCAGAATGATGCAGGAACATAGGACGTTAAACGACATTTCACGCCAGAATGATGCAGGAACATAGGACGTTAACCTACATCGATGATTTTAGTATAAAAACATTATTATTTGTTTTAATTATATTATCTCTAGCGGTCGGTAGTCGGTAACTAGCGTGTTATTTGATTACTAATGGTATTGTCATATTTAATATAATCAGTATATTTCCCTATTATAAATATTTTAACACATGAACGATGTATTAATAAATTAGAGTGGTCTTTGTTTACTTTACATATAGAATTGGTCATCCATATTGTACAGTTAATATACACGTACGCCATCCATATTGTATAGTCACGAATTAACCTAGATGATTTTAATACATAAAAGCTGGTCACAAAGCTATAAAGAAATGAAATGAAATGGGGTTTATCGGTTACACGCTAGTTGGCTTGGTCATGTCTACTCTTCCTCGTGTTGACAGTGTTTCTTGTCACGCTGTTCGTTCTGCACGACTGCATCGATAGAATCAACCAACAATCTGCCAGGAACAAACCAAGATCTCTCTCTCTCTCTCTCTCTCTCTCTCTCTCCCTCTCTCTCTCACACACACACACACACACACACACAAAAGGGGGACGCCATGAGGATATTTCTCCAGGGAACCCAGCTAAGACCAAAACCGAGATTAAACGGGGCAACTAACTCACTGAGTGTGGTGGATTATCTAGAATAAATACAACAGCTATGGGGAGCTAGAATAAATGAAACAGCTATGGGGAGCCAGAATAAATAAAACAGCTATGGGGAGCTAGAATAAATAAAACAGCTATGTGGAGCCAGAATAAATAAAACAGCTATGTGGAGCTAGACTAATTTAAACAGCTATATGGAACCTGAATAAATAAAACTGCTATGGGGAGCCAGAATAAATTAAACATCTATGGGAAGCTAGAATAAATAAAACAGCTGTGGGGAGCTAGAATAAATAAAACATAGGGAGCCAGAATAAATATAATGTAAAAGAACCCAACGAGGCTAATGAGGACCGCTGTCAGGGTTTTTTTTTACTCATCCAACGTGTACACGGGACCTTAGGGGGGTTTACTCCGGCTCATCCGGTTTCCTCCCACTGCTAAAGACGCCTACGCGCAAGCGAATTATTGAAATAAAATTGAACAATGTGTTTGTCCCGAAATGACCTAGTTTGTGTTGAGTAGACGTTAAACCCCATTTCTCTCTCTCTCTACACGGGACCTTGTCTTTTCGTCTTATCTGAACGACTAGACGCTGTTCCTTGCCCAGCCCTGCGCCACTGGCAAGGGGGGCGGGGGTACCACGCTGAAAACTCCCGTGGAACTTTCTCGGCCAACACCGGGATCGAACCCCATACCTCCTGGCTAGTGAGCCAGTGCTCTACTCGCTGAACCACCATGGCTCCCGGGCTTTTTACACAGTGAGACACCGTGGCTCCCCAGCGTGGTCACTGACACACCGTGGCTCCCGGGCGTTTTACACAGTGAGACACCGTGGCTCCACTAGCGTGATCAATGATGACCGTTCAGAATTTAATTTATCTTCTTACTCATTCTTTTTCCTTTAATGAAAATCCAAATAACAGAAAGATATATTTAACGACGAAACATTGTGTCAAATTTTGTTATTATAACATCGGATGTCAATATTCATAATTTTAGAAGAAGAAAAACATCTAAAAAGTTTATTTTATGGTTGGGTGTTTGATCCCTGCATTGACCGAGAAAATTCATCCAGATTTTCGGGTGTGGTTCTCCCTTGTCAGTGGTGCAGGACGGGGGGGGGGGGGGGCTGACAAGAACAGCTGTCTAGTCGATATAAGAGTAGGTCGTAGTGCCGCTGTCCGGGTAAAATTATACCTCATAGCACTGTATGCGATATGCCTGTCTTCATTAGCCCAGTCCGGTGCAGAGCAGTAGGGCGTTAAACCCCATTTCATTTTATGGTATATTGTTGAAACCGATATCACAGATTAAATTATACATGCAGTTCATTTCCACCTGGCCAGGGTGCATTCGGTATTTTCCCTATTTCCTCTTGGGCGTGTTATCTTTTCACGCACTGACTACAACCTCATCGCAGTGTGTGTGTGTAGCAATCCGCCACGAGCAGGAGAGAAAGACGCGCGACGAGTGACAAGCCATTATCCTGATCGTGAATCGATAGATTCAACCAACAATCTGCCAGGACGAAAAAACGACCGCGACTCTCTCTCTCTCTCTGGCTTTTAGTTCATTAATGTTGACAAAGTTAGTAAGATAAAATAGAGTCGAGCTCTTGAGTCGTGGATTAACGTCGTGCAGTTTAAGCTAGGTGTTCGGAGTTTTATCAGATATCGGACGCGAAGGCAAATTCTCATCAAATGGGAAAAATGCTCATCAAAAGTTAAGCCGAATAAGCGTATGATTGACATGGTGTTTATCGCGATAAATGATAAATACACACGCGACGTGGATGTGATTGGTCTATGACAACCAAATATATAATTATCTGAGACAAAGTTCCTGCCCACTTTATACAACAGTATATAACTGTATGTACCTGTGTACATGCTATTGACTTAAACCATATCAAGATCAGAAATTCATTTGACTTTTTTTATGTGGAAACATTTAACCAGCAGCTGGCGTTTTTACAAATGTTCTTCAGGAGAAAAAACGATTAAGTATAAAACTGGATTGGTTTGGGTTTTTTTGATTGATTTTTTTTCTATTTAAAGAACTTTACAACAATTGATTTCATGTGCGCAAATATAAGTTGAAATGTTACACGGCGGATATATTGTTGTTGAAATTTTTTTTTCCTAAATTTTTTTTGCGGAGGAGACATGGAAAGATTAAACGAGACAGTGTTTCTAGACGCTCAGAATTACGACGGTAACACCTCCTCGAACATTACTTTTATTCCACAAAGACGGCATTTCCGTGGACCACCACGTATGGAGTTATTCCGACGATTTACAGAGATTGGAATACCTGTGTTATTAAGTGCTGGAATTGTAGGAAACATCCTGATTCTACTTGCCTTGCTAGCTACCAAATTAAAACGTGTTTCTTTCAGTCAGTATTTAATAGCCATATCGATATCGGACCTGGCTTATTTACTAAGTACGGCTATAATCTGGATATCGGATCACTGGTATGATATATTTAACATCACGGGAATATGCCAACTAACGACATACACCTGGTTTCTGGCTAACTTTTTATCGACATGGTTTCTGGTATTCGCACATATTGAACGATGTTTAATAAATTTCGCATCTGGACGCAGGAAGCTGTGGTGTAGTTTGTTTAGAACCAAGTGTATTATAATTGTGGTGGCTATTTTTTCCATGGTAGCTAATCTGTATATCTTATGGACACATATGGTGATTAAGAATCGATGTCGACCCATGCCAGAAAGTGTGATACATCTGAGAAACTTACGAAAAGTTGATGTCGTGTTCACGGTTTTAATTCCCATGGCTATGATTATAAGTATGGATATATGTCTCATGCTAGCCATGACATCCCGCTTTCGACGACGATATGGCAATGACTTGCACAAAGGACCTATTACGGCTTCTCAAAACGGCAGATTGAGAAATCTAAACGATTTGCCAAATTTTGTGGAGGGTCGTGTGCGGACCACGGCCACGTGTGTAACCTCCGGTCTGTTATATTTAACTTTCTCAATTCCGTCTTTAATAATTAGAATGAAATTAACTTTTACTGATGGTACAAGGCGATCATTGAGCGATCTAGACGTCATGTTATCACCAATATTCCACGAGATCGTTAAAATCAACTTTGTTTATAAGTTCTTCTTGTATATTCTTGTCTTACGAGGCTTTCAGCGAGCTGTTTTGAACTTGTTTCGGTCCAATTGTTGCCGCAAGAGGCAGCGGACGACAGACCCATCTATTGTTGCCTTATAAAACACAGTGGATCAAATGTGTACAAATACAAGTTTAATTTCTCGCCTTAAAACTTACAAATCAAGTATTATGTTGTAGGAGTCAAATTACAGATGTCACCACATGCAAGAAGTGTATATTATTGATGGTTTACACAGACGAATCGACAAGACTTTGAACAAATATTACTCCTTTTAAATTCATTAATTATTGTGATCTATAAAGTTGTCTGTTTTATTTAATGTGACCAATTAGTGAATTATTGGAGACCTACCAAGACGAATCCATGAGGCCTAGAACAAATAGTCCGTCTTTAACTGTCAAATATAACAAAATCTTAGTGATTTCTTTTGTACCGGTAAGGAAAAAAAACTTTCAATCTATTCTTTAAAATAATGTTGCTTCAGACAATAAATATAAACAAAAAATACAAATAAAAATTGTAAACAATGAAAGTCCGGTAAACTATTAACCCATTAAATAATGCATTAAGTAAATTTAATGACCAGAACTTCAGCATGGTATCAAATTAATGTCGTATCAAATTTACCCCATGCTTGTTTTCAATTATATCGAATTCATAGCTGGTTGTTTTCTCAGATAGTTAATTTATGTCAGGTTGTTTTCTGATACCAAATTTATGTGAAGTTGTTTTCACTGATATCGAATTCGTTTTTTCTTTCATTGTGCCACATTAATGCCAATTTGTATTTAATGGTGTCACAATTGCCAAATTTTGTGGAGTGTCGTGTGCGGACCACGGCCACGTGTGTAACCTCCGGTCTGTTATATTTGTTATATCTGTTAATGAATTTACTGTCGGGTTAAGCAATGTTGGATTTCTGCATAAAATTTATTTAGCCGCAAGCTAACTAAGAATTAACTGTGGTCACCACATGATTGTTCAAATAATAATTGTGTGCAATGATTTTGTCCGAAAGAAACTGAAGGATAACTGCTTCATCAGAGAATGTAATTGGTTGCAAAATATAACAGTTTAGAAAATATGAGGAACAAAAATCGAGGAAATGTTTTACGACTAGGGATCAAATTAGGGTTAAACAAGGTCCTGATCAAAATAAGATTACAACTTGTCCTGGTCAAAATTAGGTTACACTTTGTCCTGATCAAGATAAGCTTACAACTTATTCTGATCAAAATTAGGTTACACTTTGTCCTGATAAAAATTAAATTACACTTTGTCCTGATCAAGATAAGCTTACAACTTATTCTGATCAAAATTAGGTTACACTTTGTCCTGATAAAATTCGGTTACACTTTGTCCTGATAAAATTGAGGTTACACTTTGTCGTAATTAAAATTAGGCTACATCTTGTCCTGATCAAATTAAGGTTACAGCTTGTCCTGATCAAAATAAGGTTACAGCTTTTCCTGGTCAGAATAAGGTTACACCTTTGTCCTGATCAAAATAAATTTATACCGTGTCCTGATCAAACCTTAGGTTACATCATGTTTTGATCAAAATGAGGTTACATCTTGTCCTGATCAAAATGAGCTTACATCTTGTCCTGATCAAAATGAGGTTACATCTTGTCCTGATCAAAATTGGGTTACACCATGTCCTGATCGAACTATGGATACGACATTTTCTAACCAAAATGTTGCAATAAGAGGAACATCAAAACACAGGCCAAAATGTTTCTAATAAACACGTGTTAGTATCATTTTAATTAAACGAATTTATATTTTCGATTTTTTTTTTTTTTTTTTTTTTTGGTTTGGTTATCATATAATCCTTTACTATTTAAACATTATTGTTGTCTAGGCTGAGGAAATTATAACAAGAAATCCAAATAAATGAAAATATTTAGTTTGCTTGTTTGAATATCAAAACATCGTTGGTGTTGGCTTTATCTCTTCAGTAACATGATCAACCAGGATATTCACCGCGTAATGGTCTAATGTTATTTAACGATTACTACTGGTTGTTCGAAGGTATCACCCAAGTGTATCAGTGTTAAGTTCACATAAAGTGCGTTAAGAATATTATATAAATAAACAGGGAAAACACGAGACAAACACACACGTTCTTCAAAATCACGTGGGCGACCTTCGGCTTAATTAAAATTCTGTCCTGTGATGTACTTAATTAAAATGACGCCATCATCGTAACTGGTCGAATAAACAACTGGCTAATTTGACATATAAATAAACAGGGAAAACACGAGACAAAAATACACGTTCTTCAAAATCACGTGGGCGACCTTCGGCTTAATTAAAATTCTGTCCTGTGATGCACTTAATTAAAATGACGCCATCATCGTAACTGGTCAAATAAACAACTGGCTAATTTGACATTGTGAGAAAATCATGTTATAAATTCAAATTGTATAGGTTCCGTCGCGGTTGTTAATGGCATAACGAACGTTGTTAGGACAGTTTTGATCTTAAATTTTACCACGAGGGTTTCGTTAAGAAGGTAACTCTAATGTTGCATGCACTTTGTTACGAGAATTTCGAATTTCGAGAAGATAAGAACAATAACTCTAATACCAGGTTCCCACTATCACGATTCGCACTACGATTGAAATCGTGGTTTTAATCGTGGGGTAATCAGGATGATCCTATCATATATTGTGGTCAGTCGTAGCAATCGTTTTGATCGGAACGAAATGTATCCGAACATATCGGGACATACCAGATCGTGGACTCAATAGGGACAATCACATCACATCGTAACGTATCGCAAGACAGTGGGAACCTATAGCATAATGTAGAATTATAAGTGGGAGAAACTAAGTGAAGGTTTGTTATATATATATATATATATATATATATATATATATATATATATATAAATATTGTGGTACAATAATTGTCGAAATATTTGGAGATATTTATTTATTGTGAGGTACCCTAGATGTCACGAGAGCGACAACTCTAATGTGGAACGTTGTCACGAAAGTTTCGTTAAGAGATAACTCTAATCTTGAACGTTGTCACGATATTATATAAAATTACATTTATTTTTAATGCCCTGTTTTTAAAGTCAAATTATATGACATAAATATATATATATAGTGTATGTATAAACGGTTAACATCTCGAAGTATATAAAATTAATTTATTTCTTACAGCTCATGTTTCTTGTCTATTCCACAGCTATCAAAACAATTTTTATTAACCACATGAACAATTTGCCTTAAGGATACATTATGTAAGAGCTAAATCTGTCTATTTCATATCTTTTGTCTGGCTTGAAATATGATATGCTTATATTAATTAGGCATCTATTCACGCAAGCCCATTATCAGCTCTCTAGAAAATAGGATGACCGAGACATTGAATGCATTAGAAACCTGCGCCATTTAATAATTTAACATTTCAATATATGGATAATCGAGACATTGTTTAATATCGTAGTTTATTGGGAAGGCACCCCTATCTCCAAGCCCCATACTTTAACACCAGGGATTGAAACTACGACAGTGCGCCAGAGGTCACCGGCCAGCTAGAGTTCGACGCGTGACACCCTAGACTACTAGCCCAATAGCCCCTCCCTCCCCCACCCCTACAAGCGCTACCTTATAAAGGTCAGTCATCATAAACAGAGTTAGAAGGCTTTTGCATTAACCCTATGAAACAGATTGAAGTAACAGACGTCTAATCGGTCAGATGGGACGCAACACAAAGGTTCAATGAGCCCTTGGCTAAATCTCCCTGCATGTTGTCATCTCCATTAGACCAGTTTGCAGGAAAGTAAAATTTAAAATATTAGCCTGACTAAAGATACATTATGTTAGATTTAGATAAAGAGCTAGCCATTCTAGCTATAATAGTTCGAAAATAGATAATGTAAAATGAATAATTTCAAAATTTCATTCAAATTACTCTATTGCGAGCGAAGATATTAGCTTTTGAAGGTTTGACAAGACGTGTGCAGTAATTTCAACCACCGTACTGGTTGTTCGAAGCTAGGTTCCACTTCATTTTTTAGCTTAAATCAAAACATGGCTGAACTGTTTAATATCGGAGAAATCCGATGCCATCGATGGACGATTATGACCTGGAGAAGTTAATTAATGTCTAATTAACAATTTTGTAAAACATTTCTAGCATAAAGAAAGACCCGCAATAGGCAGATTTAGCGCTTGCATAATGTATGTTTAATTTATCTTATATAGTAAGATTCATTTATGTTAAAATAAATGGGAATAACGTTGTACCGGTTGCTTGGATTGGTTGTCTAATGCGTGCAATTTAGATCGTAAATCCCCTGAGAGACCCTACACCATTCATATTTTAATGTTATTAATTTTTAAATATGCATTATGCAAGAGCTAAATCTGCCTATTGCAGGTCTTTCTTTAGGCCTGAAATGTTTTCTAAAGTATTAATTAGACATTAGTTAACTGATCCAGGCCTTAATCAACTCTCGATGGCATCAGATTTCTCCGATATTAAAAAGATTAGAACGGTTCAGCGATACTTTGATTTAATCAAATATGGAGGACCGAGACTTAGCTTTGATCAACCAGTACGGTGGTTAAAATTATTGCACACGTCTGTCAAACCTTCAATGGCTAATATCTTCGCTTGCAATAGAGTAATTTGAATGAAATTTTCAAATTATTCATTTTACATCATCTACTTTTGAACTATTATAGCAAGAATGGCTAGCTCTTTATCTAAATCTTACATAATATATCTTTAATTAAATGTTAAATAATCAATATGAGTCGATTTCAGCGTGCCAAATTGGATGAGCGGTTATTATGAATATCCTTTAGACACAGTGGCCGAATGGTTAAATGCCTGTGTATTTAATCACTCACAAAGTCTGTCCTTGTGTCAAGTTGCGTGGTTTCGCCTCCTCGCTTGAACGTGATGAAGGTTAGGGTCATCTGTTTAACGTCGTGGGTTTTTTTCCACTGAATTAATTGAACCGTTTGTTAGTCCCGAAACGACCTAATTTGTGTCGAGCAGATGTTAAACTCCATTTCTCTATCTCTCACATCGACTAAGAAAACTACAATTTCACAGATCTGCATAACATTTGAGTCAATAAGGAAATCGCCAATTGATTCGTGGGTTTACAACCTGCCTTCGTTGCATATTTTCGATTCCCCGGTTGTACGTGACAAGGAGTAGGGTCGCCTGTCCAACCTCGTGGGTTTTCTACGGGTCCTCCGGTTTCCTCTCTCTGCTAAAGACCCCTACGCGCAAGCGAATGAATGAAATAAAATTGAACCATGTGTTAGTCCCAAAATGACTTAGTTTGTGTTGCCCTCTGCTTCACATTTCGACAAAACATGACTTCCCCAAACTACTGGTCAACTTTACACATCAAATAAAACCCTAATTCCAAACTACGTTTAATTGGAAATTGACGCAGACCAAATATCTAGCATTGACAAATGAAATTTAGAAAAAATAATTCTAATATTAGATTTATCCCTGGAATGTGAAGGGTGGGGGGGAGATGGTTCAATTTTATCTCAATAATTCACTTCCTAGTCGGGGTCTTTAGCCTGTGGGAGGAAACCATGAGGACCTGGAGAAAACTCATGATGCTGGACAGGCGATCCTACTCCTTTTCACGCACAAGTGGGTGAATCGAGAATTTTGAAACGCAATAGTTTATGAGTTGTTACATCCCACTTCTACCTCGTTGCCAGTGGCAACCTT